CCTCTGTAGCCACAAAGAATATCAAAGAAGTTTATGGAAATATTTTGAACGTTCGTAGGTATCCGCGATGGTTCAGAAAATTGCGTTCAGGTGACTTTAGCCTGAAAAACTGTGATGGCAAGGGCCGACATGTTAGGGAATTGATATTGATGCTCTGAAGACGCTTGTTGAGTCTAACCTAAGACAACACATTCGTGAAATGACCATGAAATGGCATTTCTCTCATAAAACAATACATAAACATATAAGGAATATGGGAAACTCCATAAAGAAGGTGTTTGGGTGCCTCACGAACTCTCCGATGATCATCGTTTCCAGCGTGTGAACGTTGCTTCGTCTTTTCTGACGCGTGATCCATTTTTGAACAGTATTGTCACCGGTGATGAAAAATGGATTATTTATGCGAATATTAAACGCCAAAAACAATGGCCCAGTCCTAGACAAAACCACTTCCAAAACCTGGACTCCGTCCGCAGAAAGTGATGCTTTGCATTTGGTGGAACATCAAAGAAGTAATTCATTTCGAACTCCTCAATCCACAGCGAACTGTCAACGCAGAGATCTATCTATAGTCAGCAACTGGAACGTTTAAATCAAGCCCTTCATCAGAAACGCCATTTACTCGTCACTCGGAAAGGTGTTCTTCTCCACGACAATGCATGTCCACATGTGGCACGGTTGACGTAACACAAGATTATGGAGTTGGGTTGGGAAGTTCTCCTCTCACCCACCATATTCTCCAGATATGGCACCATCAGATTACCATCTTTTTAGTTCGCTGCAGCTTCATCTTAATGGGAAAACGTATGCAAATGTGGAAGGTGTTAAAGAGGACATTGACATGTTTTTTTGCTTCAAAGCCAAGTGATTTCTTTAATCAGGGCATTAACAGCCTGATTGTAAGATATAAAATCATTATTGATAAGAATGAAGACTATTTCATTTAATAAATGTTTTGTGTTCATATACAAGTTGTTTGGGTTTTTTCATCTAAAATAGCGACATTAATTTTTTGACGATTTAATATATAAATATATATACAAAACGTATTAAACCTTGTACTTGAGTGATTGTCTCTAATGTTTTCTTGTCATGAACCAAGAGAAGTTTTAAATAGAAACGGCTCTAAAGCTAATTTTTTCCAAAACTGAAGTTAACTTTCTATCTGAATAAAAACCCTACATTTCATATCAAGTTTGTTTGTTGAATTTTTCGCAAAACTACTCGAGGGCTATTTGTGGTAGCCGTCCCTAATTTTGAAGCGGGAAAGCAGCTAATCAACACCGCCAACTCGTGGGCTACTCAAATCGAATAGTGACTTTCGACAGTCGTTCTTATAACGCACCAAAGTGTGAAATGCGATTTTCTTTATTCTGTAACGGGGTGCGAACCACAGACCTTTGGTCACACTCATCTCTCATATAAAGTAAAAATGCCCATACTTTTGTCAGCGCCCGGCATGGCCAGGTGGATAAGGCGCTCAACTCACAATCTGAGGGTTGCGGTTTCGACTCCGCATACCACCAAA